GGGGGGGGGGGCATGTGCATATTTGGAAAACTTCCCAGGGTATTCTGAGGCAAGTGCCTCTAGGGTTAAGAACCACGAACTAGGCTCGGCCCCTGTGGCTCAAGTGGCTAAGGCACCAGCCACATACACCTAAGATGGTGGATTCAAATCCAGCCTGGGCCCACCAAACAATAATGATGGCTGCAACCAAAAAATAGCCAGGCATTGTGGTGGGTGCCTGTGGTCCCAGCTACTTGGGAGGCAGAGGCAGGAGACTCGCTTGAGCCCAGGAGTTGGAGGTTGCTGTGAGCTATAATGCAACGGCACTCTACCCAGGGTGACAGCTTGAGGCTCTGTCTCAAAAAAAAAAAAAAAAAAAAAAAAAGAACCATGAACTAGAGGGAATGGACAACAGGAAAAGGCAATCCAAGGTTATCCCCTGGACTTTGATAGGGGGACATGTAATTGGCAAGGGATCAGTGGAGAAGGAGCGTACCACCTACACAGTTCACCCATGCTGCACAGAACCCCATATATCTCAAGTTAGGGGATCTAACACCACCTGGTCCTCTGAGCTTGGGAGGTGAGATCAGAGACAAGGATGGGGATGAGAAATGAGAATGTAGGTGGTCCAAGAGGGAGGGGCTGCAGGCTGGGCATAAGGACCAGATGGGAAGCACTGTGAGAGGCACCAAGATTCTCAGGAACATTCACTCAGAAAGGAGCAATTTATTCACCCTTCTTTCCTAAGTCTTGGGTTTGTCATCTGCAAAATGAAAATGTTAATAGCCCCCACCATTTAGGGCCTTCACATCCCAGGGTTGTGAAGATTCAGTGAGACAAGGACATAAAACTCTTAGCACACACCTATCATGTGGTATACATGAAAGATGGAGATACTTATTTAATGATGCCATTTTGGCAACAGTAGTATTCTCCCAGTCAACACTGGAGCATCCCTGTGCTGTCTAAGGCTCTACATTTAAAATCCAGCTAGGAGGGGAGAGATACAGGCATTAATGTCTGCTCCATAAGTGCCATGTCATGGTGTAATCATGCTCACTATTTGCTTCTGGTTGCGGTGATCAGGAAAGGAGATGGAAGACTAACTCAGTCACAGCACACAGATCCATTCAGGAAAAAAGGCAAGTTGAGCCTCTCACTTAGAGGAGGGGAATGAATGGCCACCCCAAATTGTCTTTTTCCTTATACCAGCTCTCCCCCAAAACCTATGCCCTTGCTTCTGTCCCTAGTGGCTCCAACCTTCAAGTATCTAACTGGCACACACCAAATTCCCTATTCTGAAAACCTTCTCCAACCTGCCTACAGATTCTCCCTTCACTATTTCCTGGACACAAGGGTAGGCCTGATTTTTATCACCTTCACAACAGTACCATCTACCTGTTTCCCTTTCCAAATAGGCCAACCCATTCTCAAAGCCGCCTTTACCAGGAAGGCCTCCCAGACTACATAGGTCCTTCTAGACTAGTTTTGTCTGTCTGCACCAGGGTCCTATCTCTGTTAAGCTTCTCTTCTTGCCAACGCCCCTCCGCCCATCTGCACCCAGCTGCCACCACAAACAACCCCTCTACTTGCCAACCCCTCACCCTAGTCTGCACCGAGCTTCTACCACAAACAAGCCAAACAGGTGAGAACTGGGGAGAAGTGGGACACAGAGGCATCCTCAAGCCCCCTCCTGGCTAGCCTTGTTCCAGTCCCAGCACTCACGGATCCTTCCCTAGCCCTGTCCATTGCGCGTGTAGCAGCGAGGCAGGGCAGCAGTGCGCCAAAGATCCGGGGAGCTGCACTGGCGGTGGGACCAGAGCGCCGGCTTAGCCGCACCGCCTCCACCCGCAGCGCTCAGGGTGCTGGTGACATCAGCTCCCAATTGCCGCGAGAGCTACTGAGGGGCGCGGGGGCGCAGGCGGTCCCTCCAGCCACTTGGCCGGCAGTGGGCAGCACAACCATGGAGACCCCCTCATTACAAGATGAGATCTTCCCAGCATCCGCATCGCCCTGGAAGGGGCTCCGGGCCTCCAGGCTTTTGCGCTGAGTTCCAGCTCCAGAAGGCCCCACCCATGTAGCGTTTGCCCTCCAAGGTGACCTCCTGCCTGGGAGTATGGGGGTGAGGGGTGTGTGCATAGTGTATAAATGGGAAAACTGGGGCCCTAGAGAGTTCACTAGGCTCAGCCTGGACAAGTGGGACTGGAAGCCCAGGCACCTCCCCCTCCAGCCCCAAATCTACTTTCCCTTAGCAGAGAGCACCCTAGAAAACTGGCTCCCTTCCCACCAGCTCCTGAGTACAGGATCTCAGGAATCACGGCTCAGACTCAAGATCCTAGTGCTTTACCCCCCATCTCCCCAAGCCAGAGAGAGTTCTTCCTCGTATGGCTCAGACTCAAGATCCTAGTGCTTAACCCCATCTCCCCACGCCAGAGTTCGTTCCTTGTTGCCCCTCCTCACTCACACACACCTTCTCCCCAAGCAGGAAGTATTCACCACCACCACCACCACCCCCCCCCAACACACACACACACTCCTGGGAAAGAGCCCAGATTTGGATGTCAGCAGACCTGGGTCAGATCCCAAGGGACTGAAGGAGGCTGAGTCATGGGCAGAAGCTCCAGCACACATTAGGCCCTCTGTGGACATCCCCTACACCCTCCCACTCTTCTGTCCCTGACTTCCTGTTTTGCTTCTCATCACCTTCTGTTCCCTTCTGAACCTCAGGGAACAAGAGGTTCAAATGCTGGTTTAGGGACTTGACAAGCTATGAGAATTTAACCTTTGGAGCCTCAGTTTGTAAACTGGGAAATATTCTATCTTCATAGCATTGTTTGAGGATTAAATGGGAAAGTCTAATCTCTACCTGGGCCTAGCACAAATTGACACTTTTTTTCCCCTTTTTTAGGGGGGTGGGGGTGGAGAGGGGGGACAGGATCTGCCTCTTGTCACCTGGGCTAGGTGTACAGTGGCATCATTATAGCTCACTGCAAATCTCAAACTCCTGAGTTCAAGGAATCCTCCTGTCCCAGCCTCCCATGTTGCTGGTACTAGAGGTGTCCACCTCGTATGCTGGACTAATTTTTTTCTGTTTTTTTTTTTTTTTTTTTTGAGATGGAATTCTATTACATCACCCTTGCTAGAGTGCAGTGGGATCACAGCTCACAGCAACCTCCAACTCTTGGGCTTAAGCGATTCTCTGGCCTCAGCCTCCTGAGTAGCTGGAACTACAGGTGCCCACCACATGCTTGGCTTTGTGTTGTAGTTGTCATTGTTTAACAGGCCTAGGCTGGGTCCGAACCCACCAGCCCAGTGTATGTGGCCAGTGCCCTAACTGCTGGAGCCATTTTTCTGTTTGTTTGTTTGTTTTGTTTTTAAATAGAGATGGGGTCTTGCTCTTGCTCAGGCTGATCTTGAACTCTTTTTTTTTTTTTTTT